GCACACCAAGAATACAGAGCATCACTGTGCACAGTGAAAGAAGTCAGGGAGGCGTCCCTTCTCTCTCTCAGAGCTAGTGTGGTGTAGGGGTTAAGAGTGGTGGAATCTAATCTTCAGGACCGAGTTTGATTCCCTACTCCTCATCCACATGGAGCCTGCTGGGTGACCTTGGGGCAGTCACAGTTCTCTCAGAACTCTCTCAGCCTCACCTACCTCACAAGGTGACTGTTGTGGGGAGAGGGAGGGAAAGACGATTGTAAGCCAATTTGAGTTTCCTTAGGGTAAAGAAAAGCAGGGTATAAAAACCAGCTTTTCTTCTCTCTTCATTTGCAGCTCAGATTAGTGCAGGTTAGTTTCTGCATTTTTTAAATTAGTACAGCCACCTATTCCAGATAAGAGGTAAGGCTGCTGGTTCAGTTTCTCTGGCAGGGGTGCCAGAGTTTCAACTGGAGATCCCTGGTGGGTAGGCTATACTTACTGAGCATCAGCCCACAATGCAGCCACTTAAAGTACAGGAGCCCTGCCAGATGGCTTATGAAAACCTGAAAAATCACCTTTATTTCCCTCAGAAACCTCACATTGTCCAGTACAATTAATGTTTTAGGATGGGTAATTAGAAGAGAAAGAGATTGGATTTATACCCCGCCCTTCACTCCTCGAAGGCGTCTCAGAGCAGTTTACAATCTCCTTTCCCTCCCCCTCCCCATAACAGATGCCCTGTGAGGTAGGTGGGGCTGAGAGAGCTCTTTCGAGGACCGCTCTTGAGAGAACAGCTCTGAAAGAACTTGTAACTGACCCAAGGTCACACCAGCAGCTGCACGTGGAGGAGTGGGGATTAAAACCCCATTCTCCCAGATTAGAGTCCGTGCTCCTAACCACCACACCAAATTGGCTCTCAATTAGCACAACCGGGCGGAGGGGGGGGGGAGAGGAATAGGATTTTCTCTTCTTTTCCTGTCCAACCCAGTCTGTAGAATATTCCTGTTGAGAGGCAATAAACTGCTGCTTGCTGAAATCACTCTGCCTTTGCCTCTGCCGTGTTAAACCCACTATTTAACACAAACAGAGGTTTGCTCTGGATCTTTCTTGATCATTCCCCACCTCCTTATTATAGTAAGGGAAATTATTTCTTGAGTGATATGAAGATTTGGTTTGAAAAGATTTCTAAAATGTTGGCTTGAGCGTGGGGAGGGGGCACGATACCATCCCATCAGGATCCTCACAAGACTTGGGATTTGGGGGCTCACCCCACCTTGTTGCCACTATCGTTAATAATTTCATAACCCCTCCCCCCCTTTTACACAGGATAAACTAATGTTTGACAGCTTTGGAAAATACTCAGATGGTTGATTAAATCAGTGCAACGAGTTCTTATTCTCATTTCCTAAGGCAAGAGATGCTCAGAGGTGGTTTGGCACGGCCTGCCTCTGCATAGCAAACCGAGATTTCATAGAATCATACAGTTGGAAGCGATGTTCCCTCTAAGCTGTGGAGCCCTGTGAGCAAGAATTCTACTTTGTGAGCTACTGGCATTAAAGTTGTGAACGAGCGATTTGGCTGCTGCATAAATGAGTTTGCCCTGAAGCCATCCTCCCTGAGCGAAGACAAAAATGTGTGAGCCAGAGACTACCTAAGGGACCGCCTTTCCCCACATATTCCCCCAAGAGCACTACGGTCGGGGAAGCAGAACTTGCTGGATGTACCAGGTCCCCGAGCTATTAAATGCGTTGTGACCAGGAATAGGGCGTTTTCAGTGGCGGCTCCTATCTGGTGGAACGAGCTCCCAGAGGAGATCAGGGCTCTGCGGGACCTAGCACAGTTCCGCAGAGCCTGCAAGACGGAGCTCTTCCGCCAGGCGTTCGAAGAGGAGCCGCCACCGCCATGGTACCACCAACGCCATGGCACGATCAACGCACTAGAATCTGGGTACAGGGTAATCTGGAGGTTGAGCACTTGAATGAGATTTCAAGAGATAGCCATCTTGGTTTTTATGCGAGGAGTACTGAATATATTTTTCTATGATTATAACTGGTTTTAAAAATCTTAATGTATGTATTGTTTTATGTTATGTTATGATTTGGCAATATGACTTGTAAGCCGCCCTG